AAACAACACCATGCACCGGTGAGGGGAGATCAACAGTTACTATTCTTCAGAAACGAAAGTTCAACAACTACAACAACAACAACGATAATTTTAAGACGATTCGCTCTTATCTGCTTGCGTGCCGTTCAACACGTAAATCCCAAACCCTCGATACCCGCCCTCTTCGTCTTCGATCGTACCCCCCTTAGGGGTATATCGTTCTTGCCTGCTACGTGTACTTCGTGAAGCCCCTAATTAACGCAAGGGAATGGAGGACGGATGGAAGGAAGGGACGAGGGGGAGGGAGGAGGATGGAGCACGAGAGTAAGTAGCAGGATGGGGGCTGGGAGCAGAAAAACACGTGGCAGATCCAGGCGGGCCAATCGGGCGGGCAGACCCAAAGAGGCGAGTCGGGAAACCGAGCCCAGGCGGCCAGGTCGAGCAGGCGGGTTGCTGAAGCGTGAGTCCTGCATGAGGAAATCTCCAGCGATAGCGCGATTCCAAAGAATATCGCAATAAAGGCCGAAGCGAGAGCGTAATTCCTGAATGTCGAGCGCGCGGCCTCTGAATAAATTGCAAGGAAGTCCCACGCGAGAACACGATTCCTGCATAAATTGTGAGGACGTCCCGCGCGACAGCGCGATTTCTGCATAAATCGAGAAGAAGTATCCAGCGGGAGCCGTTCTTGTTGTAGCCAGGGGGGTTAAGAGCACAGTTGGAGCAGGAAGACTTTCCCTGATTGTATGTTTTAATGAAAAATGCGAGCCCAAAGGGGGGCACTTCGATTGAAAAAATACCATGTGCACCGGTGGGGGGATCAACAATAATGAATACTGCAGAATGTGAGTTCCCTCATTAATGAAACGGTTCATTCTTCTTGGCTCGTGTGTCATTCAGCACGACTATCCCTAACCCTCGGTACCCGCCCTCTTCGTATTCGATCGTACCCCCCTTGGGGGTGTACCGTGCTTAATTGCCACGTGTAGTTGGCGCAACCCGTGAAACAGGAGAAAAGAAGGGGCAAGAAACACCAGGGAGGGAGAAGGATGGAGCACGAGAGAAATTTGCAAGAGGGGGTGGAGAAGCAAGAGCACAAGCGGCTAACAAAGACGGGCGGGTCGGGCGGGCGGACCGTAACGGGCAGATCGGGCGGGCAGGCCAAGACGGCCAGATCGAGCGGACGGGTCGCTGAAGCGACAATCCAACATGAATTGCAAGGACGTTTGGAGCGTTAGCGCGATTCCCACTTGAATCGTCAGGAATTGCAAAGCGAGAGGGTAATTAGTGAGTTTGGGGGGCACGGCGCCGCAATAAATTGCAAGGACCCGCAAGAGCGCGATTCCTGCGTACATTATGAAACGGTTCCCGCCTGATACCTCCACACAGTTCACTCCAAATCGCGAGTTCGCGCGGGATTTCCTCACAATACATATATATATACATATATATGCAAGAATCGCGCTCCCGCGTGGGACTTCCTTGCAATTAATTCAAACAGCGCGCCCTCGACACTTAGGATGTCGCTGTCGCTTTGGCTTTTTCGCATGCTTTACTTGGGAATCGCGCTATCGCTGGAGATTTCCTCAAGATTCATGCAGGATTCACGCTTCAGCAACCCGCCTGCTCGACCTGGTCGCCTGGGCCCGCCTTCCCGACCCGCCCGCCAGGGTCTGCCCGCCCGATCTGCCCGTCTGGGTCTGCCACGTGTTTTCTGATCCTAGCCCCCCCTCCTGCTAATTTCTCTCGTGCTCCATCCTTCTCCCTCTCGCGTGGCGCTTCCTCACGCCGTGCCCCCAAGACTCACGAATCACGCTCTCGCCCTGGATTGCCTGGCGATCTATTTGGAAATCGCGCTATCGCTCGAAACGTCCTCCGTGTTGGATTGACGATTTAGCGACCCGGCCGCTCGACCTGGCCGTCCGGGCCCGCCTGCCCGACCTGCCCGTTAGGGCCCGCCCGCCCCACACGCCCGTCTGGTTCTGCCGCTTGCGCTCCTGCTCCTAACCCTCATCCTGCAAATCTCTCACGTGCTCCATCATTATCCCTCCCCCCTGTCTCTTCACTCCTCCTCTCCTTGCCCTGTTTTAGGGGCAGAGCCCACTACACGCGACAGGTAGGCAAGGTATACCCTCAAAGACGAAGAGGGCGGGTTCTGAGGGTTCAGGATATACGTGCTGAATGGCACGTAGATCGGGACGCAGCAACACACTCTGAGGCCCAAGAACTTCCCTTGTAAAAAAAACTAGGTGCGATCCCCAGGAGGAGCACTTTAATTGAAACAACAATGGGCATCGAAGGGGGGGGAACGAATAATCCTTCGAAAACTCAACTACAGACTCTATCCTACAGAGCTTCGCGGCGGACCCCTAGGCGGCAAGCGGCGCAGGCGGCACCGCTTGGTGCCCAAAGTGCGCCGCTGAACACACACACACACACACACAAACACAGAAATCCACCGACCGTTCGGCGTTCGGCGCGTGTGAGACGCTTTGCTCTCGTCGTCGTCGTCGTCGTCGTCGTCGTCGTCGTCGTCGTCGTCGTCGTCGTCGTCGTCGTCGTCGTCGTCGTCGTCGTCGTCGTCGTCGTCGTCGTCGTCGTCGTCGTCGTCGTCGTCGTCGTCGTCGTCGTCGTCGTCGTCGTCGTCGTCGTCGTCGTCGTCGTCGTCGTCGTCGTCGTCGTCGTCGTCGTCGTCGTCTTTGTCAGCCCGAAGGAACTTGTTGACGCTTCGCGAATCCCCACCAGCCCATCCAGAAACGATGCCCCGAGGAATTGCCTGGATCAGGGAAGTGGGCAGCACACAAAGGAAGCCATTATGAGACATCTTGGGATATCTTGAGCCATCTTGGAGGCCATCTTGGGCTCCCCCAGGCGCTCTTGGAGTCATCTTAGCCAGTGCTCCCCCCCCAAGAGGCCAACATGTGGCTAAAACCTTCGTGAAATCAATGATTTGGCATTCTCGCCGAGGCCTCTTGGAGCATCTTGGGTGCCTCTGGGGGGTCTCTTGGAGCCACTTGGGGGTCTCTTGGGGGCCTCCTGGGGGCCTCTTGGGGGCCTCTTGGGGCCATCTTGGGGCCATCTTGGGACCTCTTGGGGCCTTCTGGGCGCTTCTTGGGGCCATCTTGGAGGAGATCGATCAAACAAGAGTGGAGCATTAATGAGCGTCCCCCTCCCCAGGAGGCCAAAATGGGGCCAAAACCATAATAAAACAAATAACTTGGAGCATCTTGGGTGCCTCTGGGGGGTCTCTTAGGGGCCTCTTGGGGGCCTCTTGGGGGCCTCCTGGGGGCCTCTTGGGGGCTTCTTGGGGCCATCTTGGGGCCATCTTGGGACCTCTTGGGGCCTCCTGGGCGCTTCTTGGGGCCATCTTGGAGGAGATCGATCAAACAAGAGGGGAGCGTCAATTAGGGTCCCCCTCCCCAGGAGGCCAAAATGGGGCCAAAACTCCTTAGTAAAATCAATGATTTGGGCTTCCTCGCCGAGGCCGTTTTGGACGCCCTGACGACATGGGGAGGGGGGAGGGGGAGGGGTAAACCCCTCCCCGAAAGGGAAGAAGGAGGGGTGGAAGAGAAAACGCTCTAAACCACCGACGCCCAGAGGGCTGGTGGGATTCACTAACAAAGAAATTGAAGAACGTCGTAGTTGAGTCAAAAGAAAGCCCTTCCCTTTGATCCCTTCCCCGCTGGAGGGAGGGGGGGGTCCCGGGAGGGGGTCCCCAGGGAGGGTAGCGGGGGGGATCCTGGGTCAGAATACCACCCCCCAGGGGGGTCCTGAAGCACCGGAAAGCCCCAAGGCGGGCCAAGAGTGCCCCAAGAAACCCCCAAGACGGTCCAAAGGGCACCGAATCGCCGAACGATCGGTCCAAGACACCTAAGATAGCCTCTAGACAGCCCATGAAGGCTTCAAGACGCCCCAAGAGGCCTCCAAGAGCACTCCCACGAGGGCCCACCGAGGCAAACTTCATTGATTTTCCCTTGGTGTTGGACAGATTTGGGCGTTCTGGCTTTTCTGCTTCCCGACGCTCCAAGATCCAAGAGGGCCCAAGAGACATCCAAGATCACGCCAAGACGGCCCAGGAGGCCCCCAAGACGGCCCCGGGAAGCTCCAAGAGGCCCCCAAGAGGCTCCTGAGAGGCTCCCGAGAGGCTCGAAAACTGTCCCTCGGAGGCCCCCGACAGCTGCCCCAAGAGACCCCAAGAAGCATCCCTGAGGACTAACCCACATCAGCGACGTCGTCGTCGCCGCCGCCGCCCCGTCGTCCCCTTCAGGGTCGGCGGCACCTGCCGCGAGGCCTTCGCAATGGGGCATGGTACGGCTGGCTCAGGAGACGCCTCGGGAGCTCCGGAGTTTCCAGCGGCCCTCGGCCATTCGTCCCTGGCCGCGCGGGATAACAGGAAAGCCTGGAAAGCTCGGAAGCTATCAGACGAGATTACCTCTAAAAGGTAACTATCCGCGAAGCGAGATCTTCTAGCTTGGAGAGCCTGGAAAGTATCATTACTTCTTGCTCTTCTGACGAAGGAGGAAAGAGTAACCCGACCTGACCAAGGCGGGGGGACGATTTGGGCGTGGCTGCGTTTCTTCTTGGGGGGGAATCCAGGGCCAACCTTCTCGCCGTGAGATGCGCAGCTAAAACTCGTGTCAGGACGACCACGGAGGAACTGGTTCTGACACCGCGTGTATCCCTCGAAACGATCGCCACATCGTGCACAGTCGGCTAAGTCTGGGCCGCTGGCGGCGCTACACCGTGAAGCCCGCAGCGGCGCGACGCGAGCCTGTCGCAAAAGAGGGGGAGCCCTAGCCGGACCAAAGAGGAGGGGGGGGCGGTCCAGGCTCGGCTGGGCAGGCTCATAGGAGGGGATACCCCGAACCAGCACTGGGAAGCTCTGTGCCCCTTGGCTTGGCCACGGTTCCCCGTCCTCCAAGGCACAGATGATCGAAAGACGGCCCTGCAGGCGACAGCGACTCGACCGCGGCAACGCTGATAAGACTGACTTGGGTGAACGTTGGTTGTCCCAAAAAAGTGACCTCGAGCAGCTCCCGCAGCATCACCACCTCGGCTGGCCCCAGCAGACGTCTGACTGGAACAAAACTACGTGTACGTGTGCACGTGCGTGTGCGAGTGACATCGCTGCCACCGTCTCCCTCATCCGTCTCTCCTCTTCGCTTGCCCCGCTCTCGCCCCTATTGTTTGCGCTGTGGAACTGCGCACATGGCTGCCAATGGGAGATATACGCGAGTTACATGTGGCGGATGCGCATCCAGATGTGAGTGAAAAACGATATGGATGATGATGCGCACGCAGACGTGGACGCGGGCGTCGTCATTCACACGGGCGTAGGTTCCCTGGTTGTGGGCACGAGGTGTACGCGCGGACGCGGGCGCAGGGCCAGAAATGGGTGCGTGCACGAGCGCGTGGACGCACCCGCCGCACGCGTCGCGCCACAACTCATCGCGGCTCGCCGTGGACGCGGGCGCGCGCAGCACGCGCCTCTGGACGGCGCTCCCTCTCGCAACACTGCAGCCCCAGAAGATAGGGGGTCCCCACTCCCTGTGGGACAACCACGGTCACGACAAAGAAGTGGTCACAACTCCAAGAGCCCCAGCCCAGCATCCTGGCAGTGTACCTCGAACGGGCGGCGAGAACACCCTGCAAAAAGACCCGGGCCGAAAGAGCTGGACCAAGCCACTGAAAAGGCAGCGACAGGGCCGAAACGACGAGAGGAAGCAACGCGAACCGAAGCAAACGCTAGAGTCGTGCCCGCGCCCTCGGGGAGCCCGCCCGTGCCCAATGAGGCGTGGCGTGAAGACCGTGCCCTCAAAAACGCAACACGTAGGCGGAATCACGTCGTAACCACCATTCAGTGCCCCCCGCGGCTGATGACCATCGCAAGCCGTTCGAGCTATCGTGTTCGTTTTGACTTAGTTCGGTCGCTGCCTAAATCTGGTCCTGCACGGCGTCGGTGCCGCGCCACTGCCAATTCAAGCCGTGGAGAAGCTTCTGGACGTCGTCGTCCAATCTCTTTGGTTGCCCTCCATGTTGCCCTCGGAGCCCCCCCCAAGACGCCCCGATGAGGCCAAAATACGTCAAAGGTCTTAGGGATACATACATACAAATATATAAACATAAGTATGTCTATATGTAGACATTGATGATGATGATGATGATGAGGAGGAGGAGGAGGAGGATGATGACGATGAGAATGATGGTGATGATGATGATGATGGTGGTGGTGATGATGATGACGATGATAATGATGGTGTTTATGGTGATGGTGATGATGATGATGGTGTGACGACGACGGCGGCGACGATGATGATGATGATGATGATGGTCATGGTGATGGTGATGATGATGATGGTGATGATGATGATGATGAGGACGATGGTGGTGATGATGATGATGTTGATGATGACAATGGTGATGGTGATGATGGTGATGATGATAAGGATAAAGATGAGGACGAAGATGCTCATGATGATGATGGTGATAGCAGTAACAGACATGGCAAAAAAGGTCATCCAAATATAGCAAATCATGTTGATGCGACTGATAGCAATAGTCATGGTAATAAACTGAGAAAAAGAAGAAGCGTAACGACAGCAACAGCAATCATAAGCATAACCCAAATAATCAGAACACACATAACCATAACAAGAATGGAAATATTCCGAATGTCAAAACGAAGATAAAATACCAATCCATCATATAACAACAATGTAAAAATAATGGTGATGATGACGCCGATCTAGATGATGATAAGGATGATGCGGAGAATGAGAATGATAATGATGATGAGGATGATTATGATGAGGAGGAGAAGAAGGAAGAGGATGAGGATGAGGATGAGGATGAGGATGAGGATGACGCTGAATATGATGATGATGATGAGGAGGAGGAGGAGGAGGAGGATGATTACATCCTCGTCTTTCGTCTCGGATGCGTTCTGCTTGTGAGGCCTCAAGATTTGTCCCAGGATGGCCCAAGACAGCCCCAAGTTGCCAGAGAGGGAGGGGACGAGAGTTTTTGATGATCGCGCGCGAACGCGCTCTTCGGGCCGCAGTGGCCCCAGGCAGATGGAAGCGCCCCCTCCACCCTCGCCCCCCCCATTTCAGCGGCGCGCACAAGAGGGTTGCGCGATGGAGGCGGCCTTCAAAGAATTCGGCGGAGAGTCTAAGAAGGCAGGGGCCTTCTTAGAAGTCCTCCATGCTTCTAAGAAGCCTCCTTAGAGACCTCCAGGCCCTTCTAAGAAGACCCCTGTCTGCCAAGAAGGGCGCCGCTTCCTTACAAGGTCAACCATCTCACGCCAGCCCCCTTGTGCGCGTCGCTAACCCTTGGTCTTGGCTGCAGCACGTGCCTGGACGGATGGTGCAGCGCCCTGAGGCTCCGGGCACCGATGTTCCAGGTGCTTTGCTGTCTCGCCACTCTCGCGACCGCCGCTGGCATGTTCGTCGAAGAATCGAAATCTTTTCGTGGGGCTCCCCCCTGTTTGCGTCGGCTGCCAGGCAGAGTGACTCTGCTGGCGGATGGGGCAAATGTATGGCATACAATCGCTAATTAGGCCGCGGTGCACGGGAGGAGGAGGTGGAAGGCCCGGCGCGGGCGGGAGGGAGACGGAAGGAGCTCACCCCACCCCCCACCCCACCCCGAGGTCTCAGATCCCGTAAATGCGGAGCGCCGCAGTGCTGAAAGCGCCCATCCGTCGGGGCGGCTGTGGCTTCGGCCGATCGGAACACGGCGATAGGGGGCAATGACTTCGGCACAGCGACCCTCTGATCCCAGACACGCTCGCGTCGTGAAAAAACACGACGGGAGGTTTTTGGTCGTTCACGGCCTCAGGGGGCCCTCGCCCAGCCGAGGGACCGTGAAAAAACGACTCGAGATGGATCGTCGGCCCTGGAGACAGGGTCGGAACTCCTGGGGACCGCGTCTTGAAAAGATCAAGACATCGCATGTCTGGGATCTGCCTCCGCGGTTTATCGTAGGTGGCGTGGTTCCGGCCGTATCGCTCTGCTCTGCACGCAGTTGTGCTCCTGGCGATGCACGAACTATCCTCCCTCGCACCACATCCAGGCCAGAATGTGTCTACCTTGATCTTCAGTCCTGCCAGTCCTCTGAGCGTAATCAGAACAACTTGTTCCTCCTTGCGAAAGGGGCTGCCCCCCCGTAGGGTCTGGGGTTGCAAGGGGCCGGAGTGCCCCCGACGCCACGGGATGGTTCCAAAATGGCCCCAAACAACCCAAGGTTGTCGCCACTGTGGTACGGAATGGCCAAGATCGGCCCACATGGTCTCAGACATGCCTCCAAGAAGCCCCTGTAAGGCTCCATACGAGCCCAGAGGGGTCCTGGAGCCCCTCGAGCGTGCTTCCGAGAGGAAACACATGATATCAAAGTATCAAGACCATCAAGGCGCGCTGCCGCGCGCACCGTGCAGCAAGCCGCCGCAGCGGCGCCGGGCGCAAAAAAACTCGTCACGGATACTCACCTTCCTTCTCGCCTGTTCAACCTCACAAGAGCCGCAGAAACCTCTAGGTGGACCCGAGATGGCTCAAGAAGGGCACTGGGCGGGGCCAAGAGAGGCCCAAACTGCTCCAGAGGCCTCGAAGAGAGCGCCAAGAGTTTCGAGGGGGTCCCAAGGGGCGATGCCGCGTGCTCCAAGGAGGCGCTTCCAATATACGCCGAAACGGCCGGCCCCCTTGCGGGGCCACCAGGCTGTAGGCCGAAGTTGCTGCTCCGCGAGTTGCAGTTTAAAGTATCCAATGTTACAGTCCTGTTTTCTGCCTCCGACTGTAAATTGTTGAAGTCCGCGCAAGGGGGGAAGCCCCAAACCAGCAATCTACCACCCCCGGATCGCGTTGCCTGAATTTCCAGGGGGCGTGGGACACGTAACATATATATATATATATATATATATATATAAACACATACACATATACATATATATATATATATACACATATACATATATAGATATATGTATATACACAAACATACATGCATACATACATACATACATGCATGCATACATACATACATACATACATACATACATACATACATACATATACATATACATTAGATCCGCGCCCCCGAAGCCAGAATCCGTCGTAGATTACGCAATGCTCGCGTCCCCAAACCAATTAACCCTTACAAGTCACGCATTGCTTGCGTCCCCAAGGCAACAAGCCCTCGTAAATTACAATAGTCGCGTCCCCGAAACCATAAACCGTTCTGCAAATTACGCCATCTTCGCAGTGCCGAGGCCAAGAATGCTTTACGGCGCGCGAAGATGGTCCAAGACGGCCCTGGAGGGCCCCAAAAGGCCCCAAGATCGCCCCAAGAGGCCTCCCAAGAGAGCCCCAAGAGGCCAGAAGCGTCGATTGCACGAAGGTGTTTAAACGATTGTGGCCTTCTCGCATTTTCGGCCTTCCGACGCTCCAAGACGGCTCGAGAAGCTCCCAAGACCGCCCACGACAGCCAAAGATTCCGCTTGGCGTCGCCGTCGCGCCTCCTCAGCCCGTCGATCGCCATCCAGAGCCTGCCTGCGCCCGCTGCTAGATCGCCCAAGCCGAAGGAAAGGCGCTGGGCCCGGACGGCACTCAGGCACCGCTTGACGGTGCCCGCTCTCTTGTACCCTCGCCTCGACAGGTGCACGACGAACTCCAGCATCAGCTCCTCCTCGCCCCTTCGGCTCGTGGGCGTGACCTCCCTGAGGGGGCTGATGCCCCTCGCCCGACTGACCAGCGACCACCACCTCCAGCCTAGGCTGTAGGACTTGATGGTGGAGCTAGCCAGCTTGTCCAGGATGAGCTCCAACTTGGCTTTCTCCCCGTCCTTACGCGCCTTGAGGTCCGTCGGCGTCAGATCGACTGGCCTAGCGTTCTCCCTGACCGCCTCGGGCCTCAGCAAGTTGGGTAGCCTGTTCTCGACTGGGTCCACGTTCTTGCCCTTGCGCTTATTCTTCCTCTGGGCGTTGGCGCCTGCCTTCCAGTCCTCGGCCTCTCCAGAGCACTGCGCTGCCAGAGCCCAGTCGGGCCATCCGCCCCTCTGGTCG